GTATTCCTCAGGCACTTCAGTGCTTTGCTCCCCTTGCTGTTCTGTTACACGCCCTTAGTGTTTCTCCCAGTCTTCTTACTTTCTTTTTCATCCTTTTATTCTTTTTGTAAATTTAAAAAATCGCATTTGCTTTTATACTTAGAATGACTCTTGATTGGTTGTAATAAATAGCACACTGCATTTGGGAAACATGGCTCGATAGCTCAGTACGACCTGTACTAATAGCTTTATTGATTTATTCAGTAGCTTCTAAGACTTAAATTAAAGGTCATGTATCTTTTGGCCAAAGAATTGTAAAAGAGTAGTTTATACGAACAAATATGCTTCTGAAGAGCAAACAGTATTGTTTTTCTTTGTTTCTTTTGGGTTTCATATGGAGCGTTTTACAATCCAACTGAAATTAATAAATTAAATTCCTTGATTAATTTTGGTTATTGAAGCCCCCTAATTTGGATAGCTGTAGAATTTGTCATTCTAAAATTTTTTACTGTTTGTATCTTATAACACCATTTAGGAACTTCCTCATAGTTTTTTCTTTTTACTTAAAAATAGGATTATGGAGTGCTGCATTGGTAAAGTGTGGGCCATAGAATTTGTATTGCTTACCACTTTTCTCTTTAATCATTGTGTTGATGAAAGTTACTGTATATACTTCGAGTATAAGCCGACCTAAATATCAGCCAAGGCACTGAATTTTACCACAAAAACTGCATTAAAAATGTGCTGGAAAACTCGGCTTATACATGAGTATATGTGGTATGTGTCAGCTTGGCTAGGCCATGATTTCCAGTGGTATGGCAGATAATGTATTATGTAATCATCCTCCATTTTGTGATCTACAGGTAAAAGGGGAGATTCCTTGTGGTGCATACAATACATTTGGGTGTTCGGGAATCTGACTCCTGATTCTTGGTGTCTGACCTACAGATTTTGTGATTTTTCAGCTCTTGCAAACTCATGAATGAATAGCTTGCCATCAAACCTGCTCATTTTGGGTTTGTCAGCCCCTACAACCATGGACTTAGGAATTGCCAGTTTCCACAACTGCATGACCTATTTCCTTTAAATAAATCTTTATATATATATATTTATATTTATATTTATATATGTACATGTCACTGATTTTTCTCCTCCAGTGAATTCAGCCTAACGCAATCATAAAACCTTATTTTACCAAGTCAAACTTGCAGCAGCACTTCCAGTAGCCTTTGCTTAACAGGTGCTTCAAATTGATCATTAAATTTTAAGTATCACTGGGTCAGAAGAGACCAGAGGAC